GTGCGCTGTGACATCGCAACCGAACAATCGGTAACAACCGTACGTCCGTCAAAACAGTCTTGTTCAACCCTGCCTGCAAATAGCAAAGAGCGAAAGTGTTGACAGTGGTCGCCATTACTGGAATTATCACCTCTTTCGATATCAATATTACATCTCGGGGGTAAACAGGGGTGTTGTATTTGATCCGTTAATGAGGAAGGTGGTTGACAAGAGAGTCACGCTCGGCAAGATAACAAAGTCAGCGATAATTTCTATCCTTGTATTGACTCTGTCATGTTTAGGAAAGATAGTGCAGATAACGTTTGATTATAAAATAGTTATTATCGTGCGAAATGTAGGTCGTTTTGAGCACGCTACTTAAATGATTTTTGACGCGCTGTAGTAAAAAGGCATCGATTGATAGGACATCATAGGAATCTCATAGGAATATTATAGGAATATTATAGGAATATCATTGGAATATCATAGCAACATCATCCGATCAGCATTCAACATACCTCTGATGTTAACTCTCATAATCACTACCATCTCGTTATGAGGAATTAACAAAAAAGGCTTTGATTTTAACCAGCTTTATCTCCTATCCTCTCAATTATTTCACGATTTCGTCCAGATTTCGATCACTGTTTTGTATGAAGATAACGATGACTTGGAAACGAAAGCCTGTAAGCTTCACTGCATCGAGCCTATCCTTATGTCTCAGATTTTAGCTATAAATACAAGTATATGCCTAGGGGTGTATACACTTACACGCTGTTGGTTCGTTTTGTTTGACAGAATGAACTGGCTCGTTCTCTGTCCTCGGTTGTCAGCAAGAGGCAACGCAGTGGATATTGATTATATAAACGACATTAGAAAATCATTAAAACAAAAGCGATATTTTTTTGCAAATTGCAAATTTATGACCCAGATTCGTCTTCATATGATGTTAATGTGGCATATCGGAGACCAAATAATATCATGCTGGGAGAAATGGGATAATGAAAGAACGGATGGGGAATTTACTGTTATTTCTATTGTGTCCTCAAGATGAACTGAGACTGGGAATCTGAGATTTTTTCTCTTAAGAAAAAGCACGACATCGTTAGAGGACAGAATAACATAAAGGTCCTATTGAACGCACTTTCAAGAGGCTAATGCAAAATGTCATATTATCAGATTGAAAAAGTTATATCATTTTTCATATCCATTAACAGGCATTTTGTAGTTATTACGATAAACCGGAAGCTGTATGATGCTGAAGGCTGAAGGCCGAAGACAAACAGTAAACGGTGAATAATGTTTTATGCCGCTTAGGACAGTATTAAATTTCTTTCACAACGTGTCTGTTAATTGGATGGAATGTCAAGTGATTCTGATGGAATCTTTCGAAAGAGATGCCACATCACAAGAGTGTGATTCAGAACCAAAGATAATTACCTGGGCGAATCTGGAGTTTGGACTGCGTGCAGCAGATCCTTGCACGCCTAAGGGACGCAACTCTGTCAAAGCGATTGTAGGCACTAAGACTAGTGGTCACCCGTACTGCTGGGACCAAGTGTCAGCTGGAACTCTCACTCGATTATGGCATGAGTGAGTAAGTGAAAAACGTCATGCCGCTGTGAACAATTTTGCAGGCTAGCTATTCTCGAAACGTTCGTAGCCCTACGAACTTCTTAAGCCCATTCTTAACACATTGGCTTAGATCCAAGTTACGAATTCTTAGGGCTACGAACGTTCCGAGAATAAGGGCCCTGGTCAATATATATTCCAGAACAATATATCATGACAGGCCAGCTTTAAGTGAGAGGAACACCCGAAGTAACCAACCTCTTAAACCTTATCCACTTTGTTCAAACCCTTGAAACATGCTGCTAATAAACTTAGATACCTAAGCAGGTTCGAAACCACCATCATAGGTTTCTGTCTTGCCTAAGGGACGCAACTCTGCACAGCCAAGTGCGGCCTCTCAATGGAATAGTCCTTCCGGGTCAGTAAACATGATATTGGAGGATATGAGATAAATACGTGTAGTACAATCACCACACGTAGCTACGTTGTTATTATTAGTTTAATTATTCATCCAGCACCTGGATGACTCCCACTGTCGGCATATGATGATGACAGAGGACATTTTGTTCAATATCTGTTCTGACTGGATGCTGATGGTTCTCGCCGTCTTGGGAGAGAGATATGGTGTGGCGGAATCATCTTGAAATATCATTACACCCTGGGATGAGAAAGTGCGGGGGTGTGGTGTACTGTTTAGTAATGTGGTGTGATGTTTAGTGGTGTGCTTTGTTTATTGGTGTGATGTGTTCAGTGATGTCTGTTCAGTGGTGTGGTGCTTTTTTGGTGTGGTGTGTTTATTTCGTTGTGTGTTGTGTTTTGAGGTGGGTGGTGTTTGTTGGTGTGGTGTTGGTGATGTGTGGTTGATATGTGTGTGTTGTGTTTAGTGTTGTGTTGTGTTGTGTTAATTGGCGTAGTGTGATGTTTAGTGGTGTGGTGTTGTGTGTTTAGTGATGTGATGTTTGTTGGTGTGGTGTGGTGTGTTTAGCGGTGCTGTTTACTGATGTGATCTTTATTGGTGTGGTGTGTCTTGTTGGTGTGGTGCTTAGTGATGTGTTGTGTTCAGTGGTGCTTTGTGTTTATTGGTGTGCTGTGTTTAGTGATGTGATGGTCATTGGTGTGGTTTCCAGTGATGTGGTGTTGTGAGTCGTGTGGTGTGTAATGAAGTGGTTAGATGTATCTGGTATGGTATGTTTAGTGGTGTGGTGACAGTCACGATGATGCTGTCGGTGGTGTTGTGTGTGTGTGTGTGTGTGTGTGTGAGAGAGAGAGAGAGAGAGAGAGAGAGAGGGAGAGAGAGAGAGGGAGAGAGAGAGAGAGGGAGAGAGAAAGTGAGGGTGTGTGTGTGAGAGCGAGAGAGTGTGTGTGTGACAAAGAGTATGTGTGTATGAGAAAGAGACAGAGAGGGAGAATGTGTGTGTGTATGTGTGTGTGTGTTAGTGTGATTGATCTAAATAACATACCGCTGATACGAACTGAAAAACAATGCCTGTCTCTGAACCATTTAACAAAAGAATGATGACAGTTATTGGGTAGCTGTGGATGTACTTTGTCAAGGTGATAAATGTAAGCACCAAGCTGACCTTGACCTCAACCTCATGACCTTAACTTATCTTCTGATTAATGGAAACCGTCATCCTTTAGTTCTCGTCAAGCCGACTTGAAGATACAGAGAAAGCAATTTATATCACAAAAACAAAAGAATTCAGCCAATTTCTCGTTCATTGCATGCTGGTTCGTTCACAGATCTGCTTTTGGGGAGACCATTGTGCATATCTGGCGGGATTCCTGGAATCAAGTCTCCCTCCCTGCCTGACAACAATTATAAATCTTTGTGTCGGAATTCACTACAAGATCGTAGTAGCCATGCAGAAAATAGAGATTGTATGATGAAGGGTTTTCCGTGCACCCACCACAATAAAACATCTTGCTGTTATTGTGAGAAAGGAAGATCCTTTGTGCCGAGGCGCCGAAACTCAGACGACAGAACCCTCCGTCAGCCAGCGCCGAATGCCAGGCCCCAGGTGCATAATTAACGTTAAATTACCAATCTTTAATTTTAAGACGGGGATGTGCGTCCTTGCAAGGAGCCACATCGTAGGGGTCGTTTCAAAATCTCAAATATGATTTTTTTATCGATTTTCATAGCAATATTTTTCCAGAATATCATTTTTAAAAAATGTCACTTTTATTGCGTTTTTGATTAATCCCATTAATTTTCTTACTGTGTGTGAATATTGTGGTTATGGAGTTTTGACATTCCCCCTCTTGGTGAGTAGAGGAATGGCCGGGGCTCGTGTCAATGTTATCAGTGTTAAGTCATTACAGGAGCACACACACTCCGAGTCCATTACAGTGTATTAGCAGTCAGTGCCAACGACACGGGTGCTAACCAACGCACTTTGGGAAGGGGTAATGAGTAAAAGCGCTTGGGACTATTTAATCCCACTGGCGAGGAACACCACACTTGACTGAGAGGGATTTAATTAAACACATTTTTCAGAGATAAAATTAATTGCAATTTTTCAACGCCTTGTAACGAAGACCTGATGAAGGTTGGCACTGGCTAACCCGTTGAAACCAAACATGACAAATCTTGCACGCTTCCGGGAAAAATACCATTCCGTTGGTTGAAATATGTTGAAGGGTCTTTGAATGCATTGAATAGAACACTATCACATGTCCTCTTAATCTAGATGACCTTATTAAGATTAGAACACGGAATTGGGAGGCTAGGACACATTGACACGTCCTTGCTTCAAGACGCCAGTCGGTCTCGCGCAGAACCACAATGGGCAGTGTCACGTTACGTCTTCAGATGTCGAACTCTTGACCCTCGCTAAAGTGGAAGATCCAGCCTTCATGAAAACACTAACCATTTAAACATTTTGGTTCTCTTTACACTCGAATTTTGGTGATGCTACTATGTAAACTAGAACCTCGTCAAATTGGACGGTTCGGTCTGGCATCTATTTAACTGGACCCCTGTTAAACCGGCCGGTTTGGTTTTGCTTCCATACACACTACAACACCGTTAAACTAGATAAAGGTAAAACACGACCATAGTCGTGATGGATTTAGAACCAAATAATTCTTAATCCCACTGATGCCATATACCCGCCTTGGACTAATCCGTATCAAACACTATTAAGATGCAAAGGTTCTCGCATTCATTCGAATCAAATGGTTCCATTAAAGAGACTGAACAAAGTGAATAAACGCATTTAAACAACGGTTTTTGTTGTTTTAAATAAGTAATAGAACGGAACCTAAAGAGCCAATGAAACACACTCAAATCTTGACTTGACAACGTACTCTGTACTAGTATTTTCATGGGATGTTCAAGACGTACAAGATTTCATAACAGTAAATGTGTTTCTGAGTTCCATTTCATGCTTGAAAGATTCCAATAACGGTAAAAGCATGACATGAAGCAAGAATATAGTACTTACTTATCCAAAAGTAGATATTTAGTGCCGACACTATTGACGCAATGGCCTCGTTGCGAGATGCTGTGTTTGGTAATCTGCAGCTTGCCTTGAGCCACGCCGCTCTGGTACCAAGTGCCTCGCCACTCTACCGGGAAAGTGCAGTGGTAAGCTGGAACAGACAACGCAGGCGTTAGATATACTGATAGTTAAGTCAGCGCCTATCATTCAGTTACATGACATTCTCACAGATGAAAATCCAGGCTTTTCTCTGGCTATGACGTTCAAGATAATGTTATAATTACAAAATATGAAATCCAATTTGTCAACATGGGTCAATAAGAAAAAGATAAAAATGTTCAACCACATGTAGGTATCAATTTCCATATCAGAATTCATCGTAATTCTGAAACAGAACCAGAAAAGATGGTTTTTGAAATTTTGCCAAACGTAAGAACATCATCGACGTTTCATGTTTTGTAATTCATTGGATTGTTTGAATGTAAAAAATCAGTTATATTTTGTTAATTTTGATGAATCATAGATATCATTGCTGCTTTAATTATTCAAAATAAATACAGACAGTTTAATCAGTTCATATTTCCTAAGCAGCACATGATTAGAAATCTTAAGTAGAAAAATACAGTTTGACGTCGAGAAAGATTAAATCTACAAATATTGAAACATTTCGTATATTAAAATGAAACCATATGTCAGATATACATCAACGTCTTTTAAGTGGATTGAAAACATGAATCTTTTGAATGACTGAAATCAGAATTAAATCTTTCGTACATGTAGAATGGTGTGTGGAGGGTATCAGATATTCTATACAAATCCCCCATAACGACAGGTATCCAAAGCGGAAATCTCATATACGTTAAACGCAACATGTCTATCAATATCTTAACTTTCGATAAATTGTCCTTTCTGAAAATTAAACAACGTTATACAAAAGCAAAAATGGCGACAGAATGGGTGGTGCTTTGTGCGGTACTATGGGATCGTGACGTCGAGGGATCACAACCTGAGTTCTTATATAGGCTAAACGCAATGTAGCTATCAATCACTGTAGCTGAATAGACACTGATCCTGCCCAATGTTTCCTTGCGTGCGTGTAACCACTACAAGAAGCATCCCTGGCAACGCTATTCCACAATCAAAATATTATCTTATCTGAATTAAATTTGCAAGACTGATAAATTACACTGTGCCCGGGAGTGTGTGGAACATGGGAGATAAGATGTGATGAATTGGGAGGTCTTGTGTAGAACATGTATGTAATCCTGTTGGAGTAATCTGGCAGCGTTTTGAGTGGTAATTACATACAGACATGTCGGTGACGTTAATCTACAGCTGCAGTGAACGTCGAGGCCGCCGGAGCGAGCCTGTGCTTTCTGTTTTAAGGACAACGTCAGTCTCCGTATCGAACATCAGCCTGATTGTCAGCGTGGATGTAAGTGCTTGTGATTAAATCAGAAAGCCATTTCCTGTGGTGTAGGTTTCGGTTGAATCTGGGGGTCCGTGTTTACAAAGCTGTCGATAGCTGAACATTTCGTGTATGTCAATAATACGCTGTTAAGATATTCCTCCACGATCATGGCGAATTTACAGACGTATCAGGATAAATGACTCGTATTCATTGCCCTGTCATACCTAATCAAAACTACCATGAAATATCTTGCCCATTGTCCATCAATCGCGTTACACACAATGAGCAAACGAGTGTCTGTTCCTCTGCCTATTCGGCTCGGCGACGCGCTGTTCAGATGAAACCTACTATCGACCGAAGATTAATGCCAAGCCTCATCTGTTTGCCCTTCCTCATATTTCAGATTGTCATTTATCAGATTCCAAACAACCATGGTGGTAGACGACGGTAAAGGGCCTCTGTGTCCACTGGACAATGGTAACAAGTTGATGGTGACATCGGATACTGATCATACAGGGGGCTTAATCCACTGAAGAGGTGAACCAGACTAGAATCACGTCCAGGACATGTCACAGAGACAGCACGTGAGTCATCAAAAATCGTATCAATGCTCAGATTCTCATCAAATAATATTCGAGGCCGATGGTAACCTATAACAGATACAGTTATTATTGTAGTCACCATCTCTGAGATTTGGCTTAATTAACTTCGGCATAATTCACTTTAATCCCGCCAGTGTATTGGCTATTACTCGGGTTCTCCGCGCTTCGCGGGTGTTTTTGTTATCAGAAGAAATTCGCTAAAAGCCAAGCAATTATTTTTAACCATGGCGGTCAGAATTTGCTAATAAATATATCGCTTAATGAGAGGCATTTTTGACAAAACCATTAATATTTTCGTCTTTGTGCGAGAGTTAATGAAAATCTTGGCAAGTTCAAACTCGCGGCCGGCCATAATCGACTTTGGGTTGCTAAATTTGCCTGAAATTAATCACTCAAGAATATGGCCATTGTCCCCAACGTGGTCGTGTGTGTGATAGGACGTTGTCGAAAAGAGGTCGTCGCAATCCACAAACACGCGTTGCATCATGGTAGAAAACAACATGCCCCAACTCCGCACACTGCACTGTTGTGAAATTATGCACAACATATCATCATCGAAGAAGACGCGAAGCTATTTCCTGAAGCTGATTCAGACAGCTACAAGGCATTTATTATGGAAATGAAACTCAAGCGGGAGACCGATAATCGCGGTATGAACTTGATGATTAGAGAAAATGTCTTGGTATTTCAATTCATCAAAACGTAATCTGGTAGAAATGGCGTTATTCCCAACGCCCGGTCCCTCCCCTTCCGGTTTAAAGACGTCACCCGACCATGTAACGAGATCCATAAACTTACGTCAATAGTTTCATTGTTACAAGTTCGACATCAATATTGCTTCTTCAAAACGATTTTGCTTGTCTTTTTGGCAAAAACATTTACAAAACAATAGTGAATTTGTGAGTTTAGTTTTACGCCGCTGCAATATCCTGGCGGGGGACACAAGAAATGGGCTTCACACATTGTACCCATGTGAAGAAGACCAGGGTCTTCGGCGGGACGCGAGGACGTTTTAACCACTAGGACCTAGATTTTCGAAGTTCTCCTGACCCGTGAAGATCCGGGGTAGAATAGGTCTTCAGCAACCCATGCTTGCCACAAAAGGCGACTTTGCTTGTCTTAAGAGGTGACTAACGGGATCGGGTGGTCAGGTTTCCTGACTTGGTTGACACATGTCATCGGTTCCCAATTGCGCAGATCGATGCTCATGCTGTTGATCACTGGATTGTCTGGTCCAGACTCGATTATTTACAGACCGCCGCCATATAGCTGGAATATTGCTGAGTGTGGCGTAAAACTAAAGTCACTCACTCACTCGAAGCTCTCCTAGTGTTAAGATGGTCGTAAGTGCCATACATTAGCATTAACTTACGACTATCTTAACTCTAAGAGGGCTTCGAAAATCTAGGCACAGGATACCCCGCCGCCCCACAATACAATCCATGGCACGACACAAACAGGCAAATATTCATATGCGCTTTCAATGAAACTGGAGCCTAATATTGACAGTCATAATCCCATATGGCAATAGGGTTTTCCTCTGCTTTAAGTAATATTTCATTGACACCAGGCAGACAACACCAAAATATTAAATGTGTTTTACGTTAACGACAAATAAGCCGCCATCGTCAAGATATTCCAGTATTCATGTTAAGCTGTTACAGTGTTCAAATGAATATTTGATGTCCGAGCCGCTGGAATTTAGCTCATTCAATTTGCTCCATCACGTGATGTTCTCAAGAAAGCATGTTCACGTAAAGCGTGCAAAATAACAGCCAGACAAAATAAAACAGAACCCTGAACAAAATAAAGAACCCGCCTACTCATAAATGGCATATTGCGTCAGCTGGCTTACAAAAACATAACAGGTACATGTTATAAATCAATATCGACCTTAAACTTCCGGCTCAAATGTCAAGGCCATAGCGCCGCGCAACATGGCGGCCTTACGTTTTCATTCCTGTATGTGTACCTCGATCCTCGCCGAGGTTGACGTGAAGTGCAGTATCTTCTATTGGGGTCATACAGTACAATTTCCCGTCAAGCCATAAGGAAGTAATTAACACAGACCACTGACTGCACATTCCTTCCTCTAATATCATATACTTGACATTTACAAATACCAATTTGGTCGTATTCGGTTTTCCTATAATTACGGCGATTACAGTATAGAATTTTTCTTGTAACTTAGCCTGGACCTATGTAAGATTAGACATTATTATCCGTAGATCAGTGAGCACTTGCTGTTATTTTCAACTCCCTGGGGAGAATGCAGCTGCGGCTGTCTAATGTCAACAGTCAGATTACTATTTCAACCTACCGGGAACTCATTCAGACATATTTCGGACACGGCTAGCACTACATCTACTTTAAGACATATGGCCAACTTCATCTGATTTGTGGCCTGTGATACACAGGAACACGTGTCTCAGTTGCCACATAAAACAAAACCTCGTCAATTCGAACCCTGTTAATCTGGAAACCTCTTTTTTTTCTTGCAAAACCTACAAAACCTCATACATGGCGTATTTGTTAACCTGGCAAATTCAAGGAATCACTACTGTCCGGATTAACGAGGTTACATTGTACACAGGTTAATGACTATTGGTGAGAGTGATATCGTTTACAAGGGCACAAAGGCCAAGATTATTAACTGATAGGTCTTCCATGGAAAGCTTTCAGTTGTGTTTACGATAAGCTGACATCACACTAACAAAGGTTGAAAGGTGTCTCACGGCATTGAGGACGTAGATTTAAAGGGTATACAGAACCGGCGTCCCCGCAGACACAAACTACAACTACACTGCGAACGCTTTCAGTCTCTGTGTACGGTTCTCTGATATGCCGTCGATAACGAGTATCTAGCACACTATGCAATAATTGAAAGATATTTATCTCGGAGTCATTAAATGACGATATCATCGGATCCGTGGTTGTAGATGAGATGGGTCGACTCTGCACAGTTTGAGAAGCTATTACACGCACGGGGAGGTAAACAGAACTCGATGGCGTATTTCATCACCGAATTACCACTGTGAAGGTCTCCCTTCTCTTTCAATAGGCAAAGCCAACACGACTGACAAGCTGACAGTTAATACACTATTTATCTGATGCATCCCTACATCAAGCAGCTCTTCG